TAAAAATGAAATAGAAAAAATCATGGCACTAGCTATACGGTGATACAACAAAATTATATAAATGATGAAGTACGTTAAATCTCCTGTTTGCAATTCTTTAAAAGATTGCCAATAATTAACTGAAATACAATCTGTACTGACAGGCCCAGATAAGAAATTTCAATTAGATTCATTGCACTACTCATTAACTAATTTCTGAGAAGGGATATTTTTATTCTCCTCACTACTATTCAATTGAACAGAATACTGTAGTGTTGGTGTATTTTAATTTAATTTTTATTTGTTTCATTGTAAATTGATTATATTGTTTCTTTCATATTAATACATGGTATTTTTCATAGAGCTTCGGGATATATATGTATATTATATATATATATGTATTTTTATTTTGATATAACAAATAGGCACTATCCATATGGTAAGATGAAACATAGCCTAAGATGAAACATTGTCTTAGTATTATAAATACCGGCAACTTTTATCATATGAAACACTTTGTGGAAAGATGTGAGGAAGGCACGAGTCATCAAAAGAGTATTAATTAGGAAAAAGCTCTAAGTTTGCCTGAGAAAAAAGATGTGGTACCCAAGGAAGAGACTAGGATTACTTTAGTCCTGACTTTCTTTAATGTATTGTGTATGTAAATACTTTCCCACATCACCCAATCTGGTTAACAAAAAATAAACAACCAAGAACAGTATATTTATCTTGCTGAAAATGACTTTTTTTAAACAGAATACCAGTGAGTATTTAAATATAGTAGGCACTTAATAAATGTAGGTGATTCCGAAAAGGGTACATTCTACCACTTAAATTATACTTAAAAAAAAAAATCCTGTTTTTAAAAAAATAATTATTATAAATAATAAAATCTTTCCCCTCTTTCTCCTTACCTCCCCATCTTATTCCCTCTACCTATTTCATTTTCATATTCGTATGAAAAATTCTCATCCATATGTAAAATTCTCATCCATAATAGATGAGTCGATTTTCACTTATTTGAGCATACATATATGGAGCCCCTCTGGAAAAGATACTGATACTTGACATAGTTACAGATCAAAGCAATGTCTTCTTTTTTCTCCCTAAAACTTCCAGTTGTGAAACAGTAGCATCTTCAGAAGTTTCAGCAAACAATTAACATTCTGACAGGAGCATGTAATAAGGTAAACGCTCCTTCCTATTTTGTTTCTTTGTTATATGGAAAATACCCAAATAGAAAACTTTTCCCTGGTTGGGCATTAGGGTTATTGCTAGCCTTAGGAATTGCTACTTTTCCCACCTCACCAAAACACTCATCTAATCAAAAAAATGTCTTTAATACAACTCGCCAAGAGTACATTTTAATTTTATTAAAGATAGTTACTGAGAAAGGTCAGGAGTTTAAAGGCTAAATCAAAGAAGGAGCTATACGAGTACTACTAAAAAAAATATTTTCACAGTAAAGATAAAAAAAATACGCACTTAATTCATCTCTGGTTACTGAAAGTTTGGCACAGATATCTTCTTCTGTGTTGAAGGTTTAAATAGCTATCACAGCATCTCATAAATTTAAACTTGAATTGAAAAGCTTTTCTTGTCTCCAAAAGAAAAATAGTCACATATTACTTACATAGTAATTACAGGCTATGCAGCTGCCCTACAAAGCTTTACTATAAATGTGTTAAGCATGAAGCACTACACAAACCTTATTCAAATTGCATTAAATGTTAAGCCAAGGAAATGTCATCCTCCACACCACTTCACACAATTGCCTACACAAGAACAATGGCCATCTCCCTAGTCGGAGACTTAAATAATGTAATAGAATCAATGTTGTTGATTTAGGCTACGGTTGGTTAAAAGTCATTACTGTTATTCCTCACCAAGTAAAGAGGTCTATTTCCCCCTCATTATGCATAAGTGAAGCTTATGCTAATGAATACAAATCTAAGAATGAATAAGCTTCTTTGAAATACCATTTAAAGATTGAAAATTCAAGAAAGAGGACACGGCTTCTATCGTGACAAAAATATTGACCTCAATTTCTATACTGCACTGATCCTCACTTTAAGCCTTTCTAACGGAAAATTTAATGCTTACGCAGCATTTCCATTTGCTTAATACTTTAAAAATATTTAGCTGGTCACACAAAGCGCAGTCATAATATCATACCAGTAATAGAAAAATAAAGAGGCCAGAAACCTATGACAATGTTTTAAGGAAAGTTAATGGAGGTAAGATTTCTCAAAATTTCAACCTTGTCTTAAGAGTCCTTTCTATTATCCGTTCTAAACATGTAATATTCATACTGTTCTTTTGTTTTTCTCATTTGCAATCCAAAGCAAATGAATTTCATAAGATCGGAGAATATTGTAGCAACTAGAGGTGTCAGACTTATGATCTAATGCCTAAACAAATCTGGGAACAAATCAAACTGGGCTTGATTAAGTTTTATTTTACCTTAATTCAAAGACATAGACCCATTAAAATGCAACACACTTGTTCAACTTCCAATGTCTGAAACATTTGTGTACTGGATCTTTTTTAATGATTAAAAATGGCAGGATCATGAGGGATGTTCTATGGATATCATGTAACCCCTGATATGATGTGACAAAAGGGCATTCTCTGTGGCTTTCTTCCCTAACACTCCACAAATCCAATCTAATTGTAAGAAAATACGAAACAAATTCAAGTTTGGGGAACGTTCTGTAGGCTACCTGGCCAGTACCCCTTAAGACTGTCAAGGTCATAAAAACAATGAAAGATTGAGGACCTGTCATACTAGACTAAGGAAACATGAAAAGTAATGCAATATTCTATAATATCCCAACTAAATACCCTAGATTGGATCCTGGAGCAGAAGGAAGACATTAATGGAAAACCTGGTGAAATCAAAAGAATGTATAAACTTTAATCATTACGCATTAGCGTTTGTTCATTAAGAATGGCAAATGTTTCATCATAATGTAAGATGTTAACAAGAGGGGAACCTGAGTATCAGGTATATTCTCTGTATTATCTTTGTAATATCTGTAATATCTTTGTAGTACAGAATTCTCTGTACTATCTTTGTAATTTTTCTATAAAGCTAAAAATATTCCAAATTAAGGTTGATTGTTTGTTTTTAAAAAATGGACAAAGCTGGGGCGCCTGGGGGCCTCAGTAGGCTAAGCATCTGCCTTCTGCTCAGGTTATGATCCCTGGGTCCTGGGATGGAGCCAGCATCTGGCTCCCTGCTCAGCAGGGAGTCTGCTTCTACCGCTCTCTCTGCCACACCCCCTGCTCCTGCTCTCTCTCTCCGTGTCTCTCAAATAATTAAATAAAATCTTTTTAAAAATTGACAAGGCTTTTTACTCCCAGTAGTTCGAAATTAACCTTCATCTATACTATGCTAAATTTTACTACATAATTCATCTCTCAAATTCATATCAACATTTTAAAATTACACATTAAGTGCTCTCAAACTTGAGGATAATTATTGACTATACATAGAGGATAGACGCTAATAACTCCACTCCATAAACTCTTCTTGCTTTTTAACCTGTTTCTCCACTGAGAAGAGTTGAGGAATCTCACATTCACGAACTCCCACAACAACACTCCTTCAAAACAAGGTGTCTAACAGCAAAGTGAAAAAGGAAACAGGAGAGATGACTTTCCCCATGATTTAATCTGAAAAACTAGCCAAATTAAAAGTTTCACTTGTTTTATTCCTATAGCAAAGAACCTGTCACTGATTCTTTCTAATGTTTGGTCCATTTCAGACCAGTGTTATTGATGATACAATTTTAGAAAATATAGTATCAGAGGCTTAGTGATAAATAAACCAAGGTTTTTTGAATGAAGGGATACATTCAGTTAAGTATCCATAGCAGAAAAAAGGTGCCTGATGTCCGTGAAAGCATGTTTAATTTCAGTCAGTTGAATGAAACCTAATTTCTTTTTTTTTTTTAGAAAAAAAATCACAAAAAACACAGGATGTGAAATTTTATGCAGATGATTGTAGTAGGAGTGATGGCTATAGTTTCAGAAGGTAAGACTAGGGGGAAGACAAAGCAAATCTTAAATCCCAGGGTCCTGGGGTGGAGAGCCCCATGTAGGACTCCCTGCTCAGCAGGAAGCCTGTTTCTGTCCCTCCCCCTGCTCATGCTCTGTGTGTGTGTGTGTGTGTGTGTGTGTGTGTGTGTGTGCGCGCGTTTGTTTTGTGTGTGTGTGTGTGTGTGTGTGTGTATTAAATAAATAAATAAATAAAATCTTAAAAAAAAAAAAGCTAGACTTGCTCATTAGAAAAAACACTTGAAAACATTTGGGCATAAAGGGCAAGGTCTTAGATTTTAGACAACCAAAAAGTTAAATATTTTTATAAGAGGATGACAAGCAGTTTTGGACTTCTCCTAGAGAGTTGAATGGCTGGGTTTGGGGTTGGGTGATAGGAAGCATAGAAAAGAGATGGAGGAAAAGATCTCCATGAAGAGATGGAGACCAAGAAAGTGGCAGGCAGTCCCTAAGTGACCAATTCCCTGTGTGGATAGTGATGTCAAGTATTCACTACCTTTTCTGCTTCACTTCTGCTTCACTCCAGAAGCTACACGCAGCAGCCTTTGCTTAGTGAGGCTCTGGACAACCAAGGAAGGCAGGCAGTATCCAGCAGACAGAGAAGTGTCACAGTAGCAGAGCTGTCATTGGAAGCAATTAGGCTAGGTAGTCAAGAGTTCACCAGGAGCAGAATGGCAGACCTGGAAAGGGCCACTTCAGCATCGTTGACAGTTGGGGATAGTAGATGGAGTGGCGGATCGGGCATTTATGTGAAAATTCGATGAAGGAGTGACAGTAAAATCCTGGAGGACTTTGGCATATTATTAAACAGCAGCTACGTGGCTCACATATGTAAAAACCATATGTGTGGAAATAATACACTCAGCTATAAGAGTGTTCGGTGGTACGATGGGGATGTCTTTTTTTTCCTAATTGTTTGACGGTCATCTAACAATTTTCCACCCATATGATGTTCTTACCTTCCTCTTGGCAAGTCGGCATCATCCTTTTTCCATCGCACAGTTGGTTGAGGATCTCCCTGGACCTGACAACGGAATTCTACAGCTTCTTCCTCCAGCACCACCTGGTTAATTGGCCTCCTGAGAAATGTGGGTCGTTCTTAGGAAGGAAAGAAGAAAAAAAAAAAAAAAGCAACAATGGTAAAACGAAATGAATGCTGTGCATGTTTTAAGTACGTTATAGAAAAAACGTAACTCTGGATCTCAAATGTGTCTTGATTAGACCTTATGAATCCAATGTAATTGAATAAAATAAAATATTTTAGAATACAGAGGTAGCTCTGATTTATATGGAACACCATACAGTCTTTTGGAAAATATTAAATTGATTTTTCAATGAATTCCTGAGCCAAATCATGTAAATCCTGTCATAAAAAATCTGAACACTGAATTCCGCAGAAAGAAGGAAAGAGATAAAAAATGATCACTTGAATCTATCACAGTGGCTGAATGGGAAAGTTAAGAGTTGAAACCAATGGAAAAAATCAAAAAGGAAACTAATCTTAATTCTCCATCAAGAATGCTAGCGTTAACCAGAGTTAAAATAAAAACTTAAAAAAAAAAAAAAAAAAGAATGTTAGAGAAGACAAACAAAAACGTTGTGCTTTCACATATCAGTGTTATCTAATTTTTCCCAGATAGGCTATCATTTCACAAGGACCCCAAATTTCCATGAATGTTTTCACTTCGTGTACGAAAATCTCTCTCCCTGATTTTTTTCTTAAATAAAAAACTGTCAATCTGACTTTTTCTCAAGTCAAAAACACTGATATTATTAATTATTTTAAACTATTTATCATTATATATAGTTTTCTGGGACCACTTCCAATTATCTTTTTAGTGCTCCAGATCTTTTCTTTACCTAACTTTTATGTTTATTTTTCTAGTAGTCTGTTTTCATTCTCCTCCCCTTTATTTTTGTTGTTGTTACTTTGCACCTATCCTCCTTACTCTGCATGTCAGTACCCCTCTACATAAGGCTAGGAAAACAATCAATCCTTGTCCATAAAAATATTACTACCTAATAGAAATATAAAACACGGTCATTTTATGGATTTCTAAACATTGTAAGTTCTTATCTAGTTTCTTCCCTTTTTGACAATGGTCTGATACAGGAAACATTACCATTTAAGTATTTATTAGCATATATCTCCAAATCATAGAGAGTCCAATAGTGCTACTTACTGAAGTAGAAAGAGAAGTCAGGGAAAAGAAAGATGAAATCCATTGGGAATTGACACAGTTTATCTGGCCATATGGCCATATTTAGTCACTTAAGACTTTAGTTTCAAACCCAATTTAAAAATGTCAAACAAATGGCAACAAAACTAAAACATATTTAGCAAGAAACCTTTAAAGAAAATAAATCACTTCAAATAGCATATATTAAGAGTATAGGAAGGAAGTATATAATTTTATTGTCTAAATAAAGATCTGTATTTATAAAATAAATGTGTAAGTTGCAAGAGACATATTGTATTGCATAAAGTCAAGAATCATTGGCATTCAGAAGGAAGACAACTCCATCTCTCCCCAGTGAAGCTGACAGTATGGATCAAAATTTTCTCTAAAAGAGCAACCTGCATATGCTTACATATCTGCACTCTGAGACCTCAAAATCCCAAGCTGTGAAACAGGCAAACAGAACTTTTCATGGAGTGCTTTTTTTTTTTTTTTTAAGATTTTATTTATTTATTTGAAAGACAGAGATCACAAGTAGGCAGAGAGGCAGAGAGAGAGAGAGAGAGAGAGAGAGGGAAGCAGGCTCCAGAACCCCGGGATCATAACCTGAGCTAAAGGCAGAGGCTTTAACCCACTGAGCCACCCAGGTGCCCCCATGGAGTGCTTTTTTAAACACAGAATTTAGAAATAACCCATAAAAACTTGGAAGGAAAAAAAAGGTTGCTCCTAAAGACTTTAGGTAGTCAGAATCAATTAGCAGCTAGGGCCCCCTCCCTCAAAGAGAGCAGAACAAATCTGCATGCTGGATGGAATGATTTACTATCATCCTTTTTTTAAAAAAAGATTTTATTTGTTTATTTGAAAGAAAGAGAGGAGAGCACGAGTCAGGGAGGAGCAGAGGGAAAGGGACAGGCAGACTCCGCACTGAGCATGAAGATTGTCTTGGGGCTCCATTCCACAACCCCAAGATCATGACCTGAGACAAAATCAAGAGTCCGTTCCTCAACTGACTGAGTCACCCAGGTGCCCCGATTTAGCATTATCCTTTTGAACCCTGGACACCCTGTGCTCCAAAAAACTATTTTAGCAGTGGCCGGTTGATACTGAGCCGTTGTTTGTGGCGGCAAATAGGCAACAGAGTTAAGTACAGTATCCCTGTGTGAGTGCTTGGAATGCTAACAGCACAAGTGAATCATGAGCACAGAGAGCAGGATTAACTTTTTCTTTCCCATCACTTGGGGACATTCATCTAATTCATCTAAAAGCTGCAATGACCCAAGGTTAAAAGAGAGCTAAGCCACTGCTAATATGGCTTGAGACTGAGAAATCATCTGTCAGTAGACTCTTCCCGCCCACTCTGATTCTAATGGGTGTGTTGTGCTGCAACCTAGTGTATGGTGAGAAGTCATTCTCCTTATCTGCTCTTTCAGTTAGCACATGTTAACACAGCTTTTCCTATGGCAGACTTTGAGCTTGGTTGCTGGTGAACAGCTTGGTTTCATCAGGGAGATGAAGCTAGTTAGACAGATGAAGCTAGTTAGGGAATGGCGAGACCATGAAGGTCTTATAGGCCATGTCAAGGAATATGAGTTCTGCCCTGGGAGTGCAAGAAAGCTGCTGAAGGATTTTAAATAAAGAAGCAACATTTCTAATAACATGCGGAAAAGACTGTGTCGGCAGGTCTGTGGAAGAAGAACTGGAAGAGAAACATGAAATAGTGAATTAGGTCAAATGGTTTTTGTAAGAAATTATTTCAGCTTTGGACTGATAGAGTGGTTCTATGGATATGGAAATGGGGACGGAATGAAGAGATAACAGAACTGAGTGATCAGTCAGATGTGAAGGTTGAAGAAGAAAAGTCTAGAAAGATCCTCATTTCTATTTAGCAAATTGGAACAGATTGGCATGTGGAGTATGGTTATGGGCTGTGTGTGTGTGTGTGTGTGTGTGTGTGTGTGTGCGCGCACGCGCGTGGATCCTTTCATCACAAAAAAATGGTAGATAGGAGAAAAATGAACACCTTATCCTTATCCTTATGCCACTGTGGTCAGGTTTCTGGGGCACCTGTGTGGCTTAGTCATTAAGCTCCTACCTTTGGCTCAGGTATGATCCCAGGGTCCTAGGACCAAGTCCCACATTGGGCTCCCTGCTCAGCAAGAAGCCTGCTTCTCCCTCTCCCACTCCACTCCCCCTGCTTGTGTTCCCTCTCTTACTGTGTCTCTGTCAAATAAATAAATCTTTAAAAAAAAAAAAAAGAAGATAAAGGAGGCTGCTTACATATTAGAAGGGAAAAAGAAAAAAATATGATTACATCTGTAGATATTGAAAAGCTCTTGGATTTAAAAAATGAATAAAAAAGGAATCAAAACTTAAGCAAATGCAAAACTTTTTAAAAATAATATGCTAAAAACATGCCTACTAAAATCAGAAATAAGATGGACATGGCAACATTAATGATCAGTAGAAAAAGAAAGAAAATGTGAATATTGGAGAAAAGAATAATTTTGATAATTCATAATTGCAACAAAAAAAGAAGAACTACATAGGATCATTGTAGCAACACTGGGAGTATTGGAAAATGGGTGCTTTTAAGAAAAATTGTGGCAGATTCATATGTTGCTAAACTAGTAGGTCATTGGAATGATAAAGTTATCCCTCTCTCTCTGTCATCTATGTAACATAGAAAATTTTCATGACATGATACTAACTACGAATTAATTTCTATAACAGTACGTGAGACTAGTTCCATTAAAACACACACGGATATTTTTCAGGCCAAATTTTTGTATGCTTCCTTTAAGATGCTACTTGTCACAAAATTGCAACATATGAATGTAATTAATCCAAAGGGTAAACTTTACATTAGATTTGTTACAAAACCAGAGTTACTAAAAGCAAAGTTGTTTCTTCATCCTTGGGACACTGTCAGGATACTTGAGGGTTTTTTGGCTATCCTATGTGTTCTAAACCCCACTGTTTTTGTATGGAGACACGTGGAAGCACCTAATTTATAATTTCAAGAAGAAGGAAGATATAGGATCCCCTGCTGCTGTTCTGATGAACTCAGCAGGGGTGGCCAACTTCGCAGTGAACTTTCACTATTTCCTTCTGCCCTCAAGCAGAGTCTAGTTGCCTAGCAACTAGATAACCATAGGGGAGTATGTGGTATAGAATTTTTGGAAGCCTAACATTGGCTCATGAGGGAAAATGTAATTCAATTGATAGGAAAGAAAAAAAAAAAAGACAATGCAAAGAATAAGCCAGATAAAAGTCATTTGCACATATAGGGCACATCAAGTTGGGTTTCATACTTGAGTATTTTCAGTTGTACCTTTCAACAAAGTGACATAGACATTTACTAATACATTAGAATCTGGTCACAACTTTTAAAGTATTATTCTGGGAATTTCCACAGCACCCATTATAGTAATCATCTCTAAATTGTATTATTCATTATTCCAATTGTTTTCTGCTAATTATACTAAATTCACCTTTTACCTCAATTTTAACTGCCTACAAAAAACAGTATGTTAAAAACTGTAGGTTTGCCTACATTTATTTAAACGGAAATACGTTTTTTATAAGAATTATTTTCCAGTTTCCTTAACTAGACTTTATTTCCAGAACATATGAGAACTAGAAATATGAATATTAAAGACCAAAGAAGTTGTCCAGGTAGAAAGCATATTTTTGAAGGCTTTGCCACTGCAGTGACCACTGTTATCATGAGCCAAACATAAAGCCATGCCCCTTTCAGACACAATTTGCAAAAATTACAAGGAAATGTCTTGGGGTTTGCTGTTTTGTGTCAGAATCATCTGCAAATAAATGCAAAGTTATAAGCGTTAGAAAGTAAGTTGATAAGTAATCCTATTCAGTACTCATTAATGCCCATGAGGGAAGTTTTGCACAATTAAA